AAGTTCAAAGTCCAAGATCGCAGTGTGAGCAGGGTCCATTCCTCCTGCGGGGTGTAAGGGATAACGTTCCAGGCATCGCTCCTTGGCTTATAGGCAGCCGTTGCCTGTGTCTTGGTAGCATCTTGCCTCTTTATGTGCGTATGCAGATGTGTGTCAGTATACGTTTCTGTGTCCAGATGTTCTCATCTATAAGGATGTCAGTCAGTCATATTGGGTTAGGACCTTCCCATATGACCTCACTTTAACTTGATTATCTCTGTAGAGTACCTATCTCTAAATACCGCCACATTCTGAGGTACTAGGCTATCAATAGATGACTTTTGCAGGTATCACAATTCAATCTGTAACAGTTCTTTTTTAGCTTTAGATAAATATACACTTATTAAATAGTTCCTAAATTTTTTTTTTATTAACATTTTTTGAGAATCTGATGAGAGAAGGTCCACTGACCTTCTTCCTAGGAAAACACATATATAAACAAACTTACTATTATCCCAGAAAAAAATTTTGGCTATGCAAATGGAGTCATTTCAGTGCTTCATTTTATAATGTAATTTGAGAAGTAATAATTTTATGGTTAACTGTCCATAATCTGTGATACAAATAAGATACAGTTTATTCAGAATTAGTTGTTATGTCAAGGGTTGCCTGTCAAGGAGTTATTCTGCGAAATAAAAGTCAATTTCTTCATTTTTTTTTTTTTCAAGTTTCTTTCATGGCAAATACACAGAGATATAGAGATAAACATTCTCAACAGGTTATCAGCCGTGATCCACCCAAGGCCTTTCCCAGATAGCCAGGGTCACAGGCACATGCAGACACATGCACCATGCACAGGTCAACCTAGGAACTAAACCCCAAAGCTCATATGGCTTCCAGTGTTGAAGAGAGTTGTGTTACCACTGTGCCACCATGGCTACACCGACTTCTTCATTTTGCTGGTATTATGGCACTATCATCAGTTTTTTTAAGTTGTATTACAGGGCAAGTAGCCATAATGCCACTCACACATACTTTTATTCTCTAAACATGAGTATAATACATTTATTTGCATACAGTCAGCAACAGCAGTGCAAGATAGCAACCACATATTTTATTTCTAATTGCTTTTAGCACATACCCTTTAACTGAACTATGATTTTTAAGAACATATAATATCAGTTCACCTACAACACCTGTATTAGTGAAAATAACTCAGGATATGTGTTTGCTCAGTACTTCCTAGAGGGCTGCTCCCTTCCATCCTTTGACAGACAGACCAAAACCAGCTATTTAGGTCATGCACAATTCTTAATACACAGAGATATAGAGATAAACATTCTCAACAGGTTATCAGCCGTGATCCACCCAAGGCCTTTCCCAGATAGCCAGGGTCACAGGCACATGCAGACACATGCACCATGCACAGGTCAACCTAGGAACTAAACCCCAAAGCTCATATGGCTTCCAGTGTTGAAGAGAGTTGTGTTACCACTGTGCCACCATGGCTACACCGACTTCTTCATTTTGCTGGTATTATGGCACTATCATCAGTTTTTTTAAGTTGTATTACAGGGCAAGTAGCCATAATGCCACTCACACATACTTTTATTCTCTAAACATGAGTATAATACATTTATTTGCATACAGTCAGCAACAGCAGTGCAAGATAGCAACCACATATTTTATTTCTAATTGCTTTTAGCACATACCCTTTAACTGAACTATGATTTTTAAGAACATATAATATCAGTTCACCTACAACACCTGTATTAGTGAAAATAACTCAGGATATGTGTTTGCTCAGTACTTCCTAGAGGGCTGCTCCCTTCCATCCTTTGACAGACAGACCAAAACCAGCTATTTAGGTCATGCACAATTCTTAGGTTCTTTCTGGAGATATTGGGGGCCTTAGACAGTTGGAAGTAGGTGAAGATTAGTTATTCAGAGCCTTGCTGTCAGGTTATAATGAAACTATGTGCAAAAACGTCTTTTAGCAAGCAGTGTTGAAATAGTAACACAGCCTATTTTATAAGCTCACTAAAGTCCCACTGTTCTGTCTTCTTTTTGGTGCTACCACAGGACCATGTATTTAGGTGAAGTAAATACAACAGTATTGTAGCTGTAGGATTCTGCTAGCCATCTGGTTTCTTCACTTGACTGAGAATCCTCCAGATGAGGAACCAAGGATCACATATTTCTAAGAGTGAAGGACTTGCTAGGTTCTTATATTCTTATTCATATGACTATTCCCAGACTGTTTTAGCCAATCCAGTAGCTTGAACACCACTAATTTAATCTATGAAAATACACTTATGATATATGGTGATTAACCAAATATTTGGTGCTGGTCAGAAATAAAAGTTGAAATGCTTAAGCCTGGGAATGTGGCTTTTGATCAAAACATTCACTAACTACACTGTACAGTTCACAGTCCTAGTTAAGACAACTGGCTGTCTTCAGGTGTAGACCACTATGTACATGTTTATATCATTACTGTTTGTGCTGAATATATCCCATTGCAAGCTATGTGACACCCCATGGTATTGTGATTTAGGAATTCTTATGCCCTCTTTCCAGGCCTTTTCCAATTAAGTTCCTAGTTTTTAGAGGCTCTAAGGTTCATTTTTCTCTCCTTTTCTCAGAAAGTAAGCTTTAAAAAAAAAAAAATACATGGAAGGATAAATAGATGTTGACCTAACTATGTAGCTAGCTTTCTTTCTTTCTTTTTTTTTTTTTTTTGAGAAGTTTTTGCTATAGGGTACGTGTGCTCGCCAGACAGACAGAGAGAGACAGAGAGATAGAAAGCGAGAAATCACCCCCCAGGGGAGATGGCCACGCTGTAATCCCTTCTCCTCCATTCTCCTCTTGGGATCTTGGACACACACACACACGTGGCCAGCGTGAGTTTAAGCCACCAGGTCCAGGACGCGAACCGTGGTCGACTACGTGGGAGTCCAGCAACATAGCCATTACGCTAACTGCTGGTCCCTATGTAGCTTTCTTTCATTCTTCTTTTTAAAATTTATTTATTTGTTTATTTATTTATTTTTAGTATTTTTTGTTTATTAGAAAAAATACAGAGGGCTCCCATAGCCTAGTGGATAAGGGAGCTAGATCCCACCTTGCTGACCATGGTCATGGTTCAAATCCTGGCACCAAAGGATTGAGAAATAGGGCAGGCATGCCCAAACTTTTAACAGGATAGAGAAATGGAGGAGAAAGTATTGTAGCGTGACCATGCCCCACTGGGGCTACCGTCTTCCTCCTTTGTCTAGTTCTCTGTCTTTGGTGAACACATACACCCTCTGCTGATTAAAGGAAAGAAAGGAAAAAATTATGGAAACTATAGAGAAGCAAAGAGAAGGAAAAATCATCTATGTTATCTTACTAATTCAGCAATGTTTCTTATATATTAGAAATTAAAAACCCTAGGCCAGCAAGTAGTATAGAGATTAAGATGACTGGATCCCACATGGCCAGTGTCACAGTTTGAGTCCTGAACTCAGCAGCTTGAAAAATACACTGGGCATGTATGCCAAAATCCTAAGAGGAGAATGAAGGAGGAGGGATTGCATGTGGAGCCCCCCACCCTCGCCCTGGGAGGGGTAATTTTTCACTTTCTCTCTCTCTCTCTCTCTTACTCATGAGCACACATGCCCTATTGCAGAAACTAAAAAAAAAAAAAAAAAAAAAAAAAAAAAAAAAAAAATAAATGAAAAATCCATCCCTTTTTTTGGTATCTATTTTCATTAAAAAAACAAAAAAATTTCTGGGATCTTATTATCTAAGAATATTACATGGGTATTTCCTTGAGTCATTAACTATTAAGCAGTGTGGTTTTTAATTCCTGCATAGGATTCCATTACATGGCTAGACCATAATGTATGTAAACAATTTCCTGTTGCTGGACATTTAGAATATCTCCAGTTCACTATTAAGAGCACTGCCCAACTTTTTAGATTTAATCCTTTCTGCTTCTTCAGATCTAGTCCTTATGTGTCCATCATTTCTTCTGTCATTAGCTGTTATAATGTTAATCTTCTCCTTTTCTTTAATTAGTCTAGTTTTTTTCTTTTTTTTAATTTGCTACAGGATGGTGCATTCCTGGAGAGAGTCAGAAAGAGAAAATGAGAAAGCATCCCCCAGGAGCATAGCCATGCCGCAATACCTTCTCTTTCATTCTCATTTTAGGATTTTGGGGCACACATGCAGACACACCCAATGTGTTTTTCAGGCTGCCTGGTCTGGGACTGGCCCACAGCCAGCCATGTGCAATCCAGCTTTCTTCTTTTTTTTTGTTTTTTTTGAGAGAGAGATTTTTGCTATAGGGCGCGTGCGCTCGCCAGACAGACAGAGAGAGACATAGAGACAGAAAGCGAGAAATCACCCCCCAGGGGGGATGGTCACGCCGCAATCCCTTCTCCTCCATTCTCCTCTCGAGATCATGGGCACGCACGCACACGCGCCCGGCGTGAGTTTTAAGCCACCGGGTCCGGGACGCGAACCGCGGTCGACTACGTGGGAGTCCAGCGACATAGCCATTACGCTAACTGCTGGTTCCCTGCAATCCAGCTTTCTTAACCACCACACTACCACCAACCTTCTTTAAAGAGATTAGTCTTTCACAGTTCTTTAGTTTAAGTTTTTAAGAAGTTGTAATTTTTCTTTTAATTGCCAGAGGATATGTGTATTCCCCAAAGAAAGAGAAACAGAGAAAACAGCCCCCCCCCACCATGGGGCCTGGTCCTGCTGCAGTCGCATCTTCCACATTTCTGCATCTTGTCTGGATTTGAGGCATGCCCACATGTGTGTCTAGCATGTTTTTCAAGTTTGAGATTCAAACCGATACAGCTCCCTTAACCACTAGGCTACAGAATGACCCCAAAATTGTAATTTTTTTGCCCTTCACTCATATAAGCCTTGTAACTGAGTAAAGGAGGTTAAAAATATTGTTTGGGTTTTTTTGCATTTTAATTACCATACTAGTTTGTTTTGTTTTTGTTTTTAAATGATTTTAGGAGTCTATATCCTGGGAAAATATGGACAAAAGAAAATCAGAGAAATACAAGAAAGAGAAGCTGCAGAATATATTGCCCAGGCACGACGACAATATCATTTTGAAAGTAACCAAAGGACTTGCAACATGACAGGTAAGACAAAGAGAAATATTTATACAGTTGTTTGATCATTTGTATTAATTTGTATACCTCAAGGATCAAATTTAGAGGAAAAGGCAGAGAAAAAGTAATAAATCTAGCAAGTATTTGTATTACTTAGCTGAATTACCTCATTTTATTATGAATTTTAATAATATAAATCAATATAAATACTTTTTCATTTACATTATTTTTTCAGGAAATATTTGGTGCCCAGCACTGGGAAAGCAGGAGATAACAATTTGGAAAAATAATAATAATAATAAAATCCCTAACCTTTGGAGTTTATATTCTAATGAGAGAAAAAAATGATAAACAGCAAATAAATAACTTTGGGCAGTAATAGCTGCTATAAGGACAATAAAGCTGTGAAAGGGGTGGGAATGCACTTTAAGACAGAGCAGTCAGGAGGGTCAGGCTTCTTTGAGAAGGTGACGTTTGAGAAGAACCAAAGTGATTTGATGGAGGGAGCCATGCAAGATACCAGAGGTGGGAACAAGGATGGGACAAGCAAAAAGCCATGAAACCAGAGCAGAATGAGCACTTAGAGTGTGATCGGAGACAAGGCTGCAGAATTGGGCCTGATCCCATTAGGCCTTATGGGCCATGGCACAGTCATAGCTTGTTTAGTACACAGTAGTCAATATAGAGCTGTCGGTCTCCCACAGCAGTATACACCCTGTCGGTGTTTAATGGTTTTAGTGGGTTGTTGGAAAAGTCATGATGCATTTTCGCATAGAAAAACATAGAAAACATGTCACGACTTTTCTAACAGTCCAGTAACTTAACCTTCAAACTAGAGACCTACTGGGAGAATGCCATAGCAAAATTCACCTGCTCCTATTTAAAGAAAAGGTGTCATTGTATTCTAATTGGCATAACTCCTTAAGAATTAGTCCTCATATCCTTGTCAAACCTGTTTCTTGCTTTTTATTGCTTAATGCTTAATCTTTTTTTCTAACATATCTTTCAAGGTTTGTAATTTTGAAATAATTTTTTAAAGTGGATCCTCTTTGTTCAGTTTCTTTGTTAACTTGGCAGAGGGCATGTGTGCTCATCAGAGAGAGACAGAGAGAGGGAGAGAAAATGAAAAAGCACCTTCCCCCCACCCATAAGGGATGATCACGCCACAATTACTTCCCCATTTCTCCCTCCTTTCTGGATTCCAGGCATACACGCTTATATGCCCAGCGTGTGTTTCAAGCCACCAGGTCCAAGACAAACTGCACAGTCAGCCATGTGGGATCTACTATTTCAACCGTCACACCACTGGCGAGCCCCCTTGTTCAACTTTAAAAGAGGAATTTTATTTCAGAGTTGAAAGGACTTTATTATTAGTTTACTTGCCTCGTTTAACTTGAGGCTGAGATCAAAATGATTAAGAGGCACATCCAAGTTACTACTGGGCAATCATTCATTCTATAAAGCAAATAGTAATCATAAATATTATGTATAATGGCAACTCTGATAAGGCATAGTGAGTAAGAGCACAGTTCTGGGGTGAGGCAGATCTCATCCGCTTCCCAATTTGACTGCGTTATCTGTGCACCTTTGAGCCAATCTAAGTCTCAGTTTTTTTCTATGTGATAAGCATCCAAAATCCACTTCATAAACGTTTTTATGAGACTGTGATGAGATAATACATATAAAATGTTTGGTATATAATAAATACTCAATAAATGATAACTTTTTTAGAATTACTTATTCAATTTTATTTATCATTATTATTATTTTTTAATTTGCTAATGGGCACATGTGCTCACCAGAGAGAGAGGGAAAGTGAGAAAGTGAGTCACCAGGTCCAGGACTCGAACTGCGGTCGGCCATGTGGGAAAGCCACCTGCTGACCCGAATGATAGCTTTTTAAAAATTATTTTTAAAAATTGACATTCAGCATTCAAAGTAGTGGTACTGCCAATGATATTTCAATGAATTTTTAGAGACTAGAAATGGTTCATTTATGATGATGACTCAGATTTTCAGACATTGGGAAAAGATAGCTGCGAGGATCTCAAAATACATCTCAGTTTGAAATGGGCCTTGTTATGGTTCTTGTCCTCCAGGAAGCAGATGCTAAGATGAGATTAGATGTGCGTAAGATCTGTTGGGGGAAATTTCTGTGAAGAATAAAAGGGGAAGAAGAGCAGAAGTGTGCAAGGAAAGCTTTTAGACCACAATATATCTGTGAAAGAAGTAGTAGAAGGTAGGAAGGAAGATTAGATAAGAAAAGTCTTAGACTACAGCATAGTTCTAGGAAAGTTAGCAGGCCAGTAGGGAGTGTGCAAGCCATAGGTGTCTGGTTGAATGAGACGAAGCTCTGCCACCAGCTGGGAGCAATGCAGACATGGTAGTGGATCCAGAGAGCTGGCATCTGAGGCTGACAGTTAACTATATACCTCCTGCAAAAGATGTGGGTCACGCATTTCCATGACTGTCAACCCTCAGATGAACAAATAGCCATACACAATTACAATAAAATATGATGATCATTAGGAGCCAAACTGCAGGTTCACTAAAAAACTGCATATTAGCTTTCTGGTATGTATTGATAATGCCACTATAAGTAGTTTGATTGAATTCCTATCCTTTTGGATAAGGTGGATATACAAGAAAAATGAGCACATTTGGATAGATAACAACTAATTTTCTTACCCAAGAAGTTGACACTATCCTGAAAGGCAGTATATACTGAAATGCTTCTGTGTCCTACTCTTTGACTTTATCATTTTCATGATGTTACTAACAACTGAGAAAGGATGCTTGTTAAATTTACACACAACATGATGCTTGGACACATAGCTGATGCCACAAGTGAAGTTTTCATTTAAGTGCTAGTGTGGGATAAATAAATTGTAATGCATTCAAATTTAGGTATACAGACACAAAATTACCCAAGCTTGCTTGGAAGCGAGATGTATGACTAAGGATGGGGAATTCAAGTTGAGCAATGTTGTTATGAATAAGCAGTTATGATATGACTTTTAGAAATACTGGCTTAATTTTAGACTACAATAATAAAGTCTGTGGTTTAGATCAAAGAGTAATAGCATATTCTCAAGCAGGCAGAACATACATCCATTTCTGTCTCATGGTAAGAGTTATGGGGACCAGGGGCAGCACAACAGGATAACTTAATGCCTTGCAAGGCTGACCCACACGAGAAGGTTCTAGGTTCATGTCTGGAGACCCTCCTGAGGAATGCTAGGTATACCATACCCATGTAAGGGCTGGCTGAGGCTGTGAGTGGATCCTAGTGTGAAGAACCTTTTAGGAGTGCTGTGTTTCTCTTTCTTGGTCATGGAAAGATGAATAAATAAGCTTTAAAATAATAGTAAGTGTTAACACTGAGCATTTCCACATGCAAAGAAGCACTGTTCTAAATGTCTTATACATCTCAGTTAATCCTTACAAGATCTCTGTAAAGTAAAGCCTGTATTTCCCTCAATTTACCAGTGAGGAAACTGAGGCTTGGAGAGGGTAAGTAACTTGCTCAGAGTCACATGCATTTAAGGCCAGTGAGGGATTATTTTAGAATTTCTGATTGGACTGGGAATATCTAGCATAGAGATTAGATGGCTAAAGTAAGACGTGAATGATGACGTATTCATCTAAATACAGAAACGTATTTGTTTGGTGTTAATACAGATGGCTAGAAGAGAACAGACTGTACGGTTGAATAGGCTGAAGTGGAATGTAATATAAGCTCTTATCTGTCAGGAGAATTATTTAGAGACTCCTCTCAAATCATGCTGTTTATACCACGATTTTTTTTTTTATTGTCAGAGGGTATGTACACTCATTAGAGAGAGAAAGAAAGCACCTTCCATGGGGCATGGTCACACCACAATCTCTTTTCTTCCATTTTTCAATTACATCCACATTTGGGACATACACTCACATGGCATTATGAAATGCCAATGCATAGGTTTCTAAATTTTTTGTACTAAAATAAACTTGTACTTTAATTTCATTTCTCATTAATTTTTGCAGTTCCTTTATACACCAAGTACACTGAGATAAGCCAGCTTCTACATTAGCTCTAGGCTGTTCATTTATGTGACTTAAATATACGTCTTAAGGAAATATGATAAAGCTACAGAGTACAGCATTGAGTTAAATGTTGAGTAGACTAAAACCTGAATTTGTATAGAAAGACTGGTAATTAGTATGTCTTGCCTTGTCAAGAAGTCATAATCACACTCTAAAGTTTTCCCTTTTAGGATGTGGTGTTTGTGATATTTTGATATGTTTTTAATTTGTTATTGTTACTTACTTAGCATGAAATTCTTTTTAAATTTAAATGTATGCATTGCTCCAGCGTTTTTTATAGTATGCATAAAGCCATAAATAGCTTAAAAATTATATATAATCTTTTTTCCATAGAGTACTATTTCTCATGCTACCTTCATATTATTCCTAGGAGTAACAGGCAAGCAATAGCCATTGGCAAAACCAGAATTGAAATATAGCAACTCTTAATTCCTAGTCTGATGCATTTTTGTTTAGGTTATAATAAATGTTTATTTTTTTTAGTATTTAATAACTTTTTCTAAAATTAGAAATAAAATATGTAATAAAAATTATTACTTAAAATAAAAATGTTTTCTGATTATTTTCATTATACTTAAAGTAAACATTTATTATAAAAATTTTGAAAAGTTAGAAGAGAGAGCAAAATAATTTTCCATAATCCATAGCCCTAAGACCACAGCTGTTAGCATCTGGGAATAATTCTCTCCATTTTTCCTTCCATGTATGCTTCTTTATATTGCTGTGATCATAGTGTATATATAATTTTGTTCATTCAACATAAGCTGATAAATAATTTCTTGATAGATAATAATTTTTATTACTGATAATAATAATGATTTCAATTCTCTATTCCAGAACCTTTTCTCCCAACTCTTGCTAGTTGCTAGCCCCGTCATATTGCCCAACACAATGTGTATTTCTTGGTGAGAGCAATCATATTACTTGTGATCTTTCTTTATTTTCTGTTTGTATTACAGTGCTGTCCATGCTTCCTACATTAAGAGAAGCCTTAATGCAGCAACTCAACTCTGAGAGCCTCACAGCTCTACTAAAAAACAGGTAAATGCAAATAAATCATTTTTTATTTACGCACTGCACTGGAAGCTTGCAGAATGAGTTGACAGGCTTTCCACAAGTTTTTATTTCCTTATTTTTCTTTCTAATGAAAAGTTTGTAATATATAGACTCAAAAAAATATAATAGCTGACTGGCCAGCATGGTGGCATAGCAGTAACACGATGTTCTGAGACACTGGGACACACAGGAAGGTCCCATGTTCATTTTGATAGGTCTCCCTGTGATCTTGGCTAGCTGAGGCTAACAGTGGATTGTGCTGGGTAGAAAGACTTTGTTGGAGGTGCCTGTTTGCTTTTGGTTCTGTTTTTTGTCTGTGCACAGCTCTTTCTCATGGAAGAAATAAATGGATAAACTTTTTTAAAACTTTTTAAAAAAAAAAAACCAACTGATTATATTACTGAATTGATATTTATTTCATCCATTTATTTATGCTCTATCTGTTGTACGAAGCATTTAGGGCAATGATATTTGCATGTATTGTTTTTCATATAAATAGATATAAAAATCCCTTTGACATTATTCAGAAGTTTAATTATTGAGTGCTTATGGAATATGCTTCTGAACAAATGCTATGAAGCTAACAAAGTTATGCTTCTCCCAGAGTTTACAATGTAATAGATAAAGCATGTGAACATACATTATAACTATGATGCATATGAACTGATAATTTAAATTACTAACAAAATGAAATACAAATATAACATGAGCCTAAGTACTAATGCTTGATATTATCATACCAAACACTTTACATATTGACCTTATGTATGGGGTGTGCTATTTGTTGGGGCCTCGCAATTTGGTATGATGCTATGTTAGTTTGAGAAGACTTCCAGAAGGAAATGTCTTCTTATTTTAAAGAACAAGATAGGGTAGGGGGGCATTCACTAAACAGTGTGGCCCCTCTGAAATAATCACTTTTCTTTTAATCATCCTCCAAAAAGCTAGGGAGAAGGGAGTGTTCTGCAAGATGTCTCTGTCCTAGACCCAGTGCTAGGCACATTATATACAAGCTCCCATTCATTTTCGTAATATTTCTGTGAGGCAGAATTATCTTCATTTTGCAATAGAAATTTAGTGCTCAGATAAGTTATATACATAGATGAAAATTCTTTTTGAAAACATCTCCCGTATTCAAAGAATACTTCCCAATTTGTTTGTTTACTTGGAATTTTTTTTAATTTTAATTGAAGTACAGTAAGTACAGACATGTGTCAACAGCAGGGTTATCATCTGGGAAATGTGTTGTTGGGTGATTTTGTCATAGCTTGAACATCACAGAAAGTAGTTACACAAACCTAGATGGTATAACCTACTACGCACCTACGCTGTATGGTATAGAGTATTGCTCCTAGGCTACAAACCTGTACAGCCTGTTACTGTACTGAATGCCATAAACAGTTGCAACACAGTGATATTTGTATATCTAAACATGTCTAAATCCAGAAAATATACAGCAAAAAGATTTTTTTAAAATGGTACACCTGTGTAGGAAACTAACCATGAATAGAGCTTACAGGACTGGAAGTTGCACAGGGTGAGTCCATGAGTGAGTAATGAGTGAATGTGAAGGCCTGAGACATTATCTTACACTGCTGTAGACCTTATAAACACTAGGTACACTAAATTTATAAGAAAATATTTTCTTATAATAAATTAGTTTAGCACTGATATTCCAAAGACTACAGTGTCACTAGCTGATAGGAATTTTTCAGCCGTATTATATTATTTTTTTAAGCTTATTTTTTAGGTACGTTTTTCATGAAAGGAAGACAGAGAGAAAGAGACAGAGGGACAGGCACCACCAACAGGGTCCTCACATTGTGATCCTGCTCTCAACCTCAGCCTCCCAGATCATGGGCACACACACCACATAGCCCGCACAGGGAGGCCTTAGGTTGCAAACCCAGGCTTTCCCATGTGGCCTCAGCATCCCAGAGCATTGCATTACTGCTGTGCCACTGCAGCTGGCTGTCGTTTTACCCAGAGGAGACCACTGTCACATATGTGACACGTGACTGTATAGAGCTAGAGGTAAGGGTTGTTTCCCTTAAATTTCATCATAGACTTTACCTCCTACCTATAGATATAAGGCTTAGCTTATAAATTAGTTTATGTAATTATATGGAGAAAAAATGTAAGTGATTGCTTTTAGTCAAGTAAATGCTCAATTACCACCTCCATGTGTGTAGGTGGGGAGTAGAGAACAAATAGATTTTAATTGCTCTAAGTGTTAGTCTTATTGGAAAGGTAAGGACAAATAAAATAAGTGAATAAGACTTTTATTAAAGTAACAGAGTAACATGTTATAAACCTGGTGGCGTAACTCTTGGTGAATCTCTGTTTCCTGTAAGGCCCTATCTTTCATGCGGTGTGAGGAATTTAAGATAATTGAGATAATGCCCCTTTCTCCTTAAGACCTTGTCACCCAAAATAAAAAAGTAGATTAAATAAATGATCATCATTAAAAATATATTATATGTAATGCTATGGTAAAAAAATACATAAATAAAAGCAAAATGTGGGCAGAAAATATGGGAGTATAGGGAAAAAAAGGAGGGAGGGGAATTAATTTTGATGAATTATCCTGGACAGCTTCAAAGAAAAGGTGTGATTCTCCTTTTCTTACTCAATACACAGGGAGGAGAATTTCTCAAGTTTTAGAGAACTTAAGATTGACCACAGTTCATCTCATTCATGATTTCCTCTCCTTAAATATTTCAGTGTTAATTTTCCTTGCCTTTCTTTTGATTTGAGATTACTAATTTCATGGAAGGGGTACTCATTTGAAAAATATTTGTGTAAAGGCCTTGAGCCCTTATAAAGCATAAGTAGTCTCCTATTCTGTGACTGATTTTCATCAGGTGTATATGAAAGTCTGATCTCATAAAAGCCTGTCGAGCAAGTTAGATTTCCCTTTAATTGTGGTAGTAACTAATTAAAAATGAACTAATCAATTAATGAGAGTCTTATTTTATCAGTTTCATGCTAGCAAATATGCAGCTATCACTATTCTTAGTACTTGATGTTCTCAAAAGATTCATAGTGGCAATGAAGTTTCATTGTTAAAAAGATAAAAATCCTAAAAACCCTTCATCACAAGAAAGGTAGAATACTTTGAAAGTAATTAAATTCTTAAACAGATGTTTTGGTGACATTAAAGAATCTGGTTGTATTTAATTTGGAGTTAAGTTTCCTTCACAAGTATCATTTTGAAGGAATCTTTGCATATAAAGTACTTTCCCCATTCTTCTATGTAAATTTAGACTCTTTTACATAGATTGTAGAATTTTTAAAAAAGATTATATTTATAGCTTAAAATCTACTTTTAACATCCTACAATGATGATTGTAAACACTAGAAATACCTTGGGTGGCTGCAACTCTGTCTCTTCCCATCAGAAGTCACCCCAAATGAAACATAGTGTCAGCAAACACAGTTTCAACTCAAATACTCTAATTTATCCTTCCAGAAAATGCTTCTGCCAAGTACTTCACATAGTGAAATTTTTGGACCCACTGTTTTCTCGTTTCATTTAGAATGTGTCTCTAAGAAGCACTTTGGAATTTTTCTGAAGTGGCATTCAATGATATGACTTACTTGCATTACAATACCTTACTCTTGAATTATAGTGGAGTCCCAGTTTAATCAGAATAAGTATGGCATTCCACCAGGAGCCTTGAACACTAGATTAGATGAAAGCGACAGTGGCACCTTGCAGGATTGCTTCACACATCTGAACCTATGCCATCTAGGAAAGGCATGACTTAAGCTCTAAAATCTTCTCATTGGCTAAGACAGGTGAGAAACTAGTAATATCCCACGATTATAACGGTAACTCAGTTTCTTATTGAAATGCAAATTTATGTCTAAATATAGTAGTAAAGACTATTAGCTTGTATTTTGTATATCTTTGTGGGTTTTTTTTCATTTCTCTAGTAATTAATTTTCATTGCATTTTATTAAAGTGTTGGTTTGTGACAGATTGGAAAGAAAAAAATACTGCTCTTCCCACATAGATGGTTTGAAAATGTGGAGTGTAGAGTAATGGTGATTGGCAGCCACATAGTGTACCCACCACACATTGGTGTACTATGTATGTTGTGGTTAAAAGGAAAAAAAAATCACTATTCTCTGTATACTAGTATGGAATGATCTCCATAGGATGTATTTCTATGTTTTAATAAAAGGTAGGCACAGGTGGTAGGATACTGCTCTACCATGCTGGAACCACATGAAAGATCCAGGGTCAACCTGATGCATGCGTGGCACGTTCCCACCCTGTGATCATGACTGACTCGAAGGCTTGTGGGGGGAATCGGAAAATGACAAAACCCTGTTAGGGCTGCCTGTTTCCCTCTGTCTAAAATAAATATTTTTAAAAATAGTCATTTTAAAAAAATAAAAACAGTTAAGAAAAAGGTGTGTAGTACATTTTTTTATTTATCTAAGGGAGCAGATAGGAATGGAATACATAGTTGCTTATGTAAAGCAAAACAATGAAAAGTTAAAGCAATTTTTTTAATAGCCACCTATGAAGAAGGGAGAAAATAAAGGAAGACAGAAACAGACTTCTTTCGATATACTGTATTCTATAAAGTTGACTTTGGAAAAACAGAAATTCAATTCTACCAGCAGACTTTGGAGATATTGCGGGTTCTAGTTCTAAACCACCACCATAAAGTGACTATCACAATAAAGGCAAGTCGCATGAATTTTTTGGTTTCCCAATGTATATAAAAGTTATATTGTACTATATAAGTGTGTATTAACATTATATCTGAAAAAAAAATACGTTAATTTAAAAATATTTTATTCCTGAGCCGTCTGGTGGTATGGTAGGTGGTAATTAAGGCAGCTAGATCCCACATGATCGACTTTGCAATTTGAGTTCCATACCCTGCAGCTTGAAAAACATGGTGGACACATGTGCATACATGTCTAAAATCCTGAGAGGAAAATGGAGATAGGATTGTGATATGGCC